CCCCCCCCGAGTTGCTTTCCAGGGCTCCAACTTTGATTCAGAGTCGTCCCCCCAAAGTGGGGACTCTGGAAACCAGCCAACTTCCTCCACCCACGTACTATACACACTCAGGTCTGGGACTCAGTGTCTTCATCTGGAAACTAGGAACGAGACTGCCTTTCCCTGGCAGGATGTGGTACAAATTTTTATTGGCTGGTTTGTTTATTTTGTAGCTTGTTAGTTTCTCCTTTCTCAGCCCATTCTCTGAGCAGGGTGCTTGTTGACATCTGCCTCTCCAGGCACTTAATAATAAATATTCACCGCACTAAGAGCAGTGACACTTTCACATATGGCACAAGCATTGTTCAAAGGGCTCCTGTAGCCCCCCCCCCACCTCTCCACAGCCCTCTGAGGTGAATTTTGTGATCATCAACCTTGTTTTTTACAGCCGGAAGAGTGAGGCACAGAGATGTTAGGTAACTCACTTAGGGCTACCCACCTGGGAGTTCACAGCCCCAGGGGATTCAGATCTGCACCAGCTGGCTTGAGAGCCCAGTAAATATGGCTGGAGGGCTGCATGTGTATGGACGTTACCATGTGCGGTGGTGCCTGGTGCCTTGTAGGCATCCAGGTGTCTTCAGTGGTGTGTGGCATCTGCCACAGCACCTGGTGACAGGAGATGCTAAGCAAATTGTGGTGGTTGTGCCTTTCCAGTGTGAATGAGACAGTCTCTGCAAAGCTCACCTCCAGGTGTAAGATTTCCAGTCCTGGGTGCTCCTGACACTTGGGGGCACATCCTTCTTTGTTGCTGGGGACTGTCCCTTGCACTGTAGGTTATGGAGCAGCATCTCTGGACGCCATCCATTAAAACCCACCCCAATTTTGAAAAGTGACTTCTAGTCGTTGCCAGGTACCTCTTGAGGGACACAGTTGCCCCCAGCTAGTTGCCGGAGTCTTTCTCCTGCCCTCACTGGTCTGGTCATTGGCTTCTGTGCTCCTGCAGACCACATCCCCTCATGACGTGGGAAGGATGCCATCTCTAATGTGGTCAAATTTCTTTGCAAAATACAGGCTGCGGGTGTGAGGTGGCCTGGGAGGTTTCTTGCTACTGAAGTTGTTCACAGCTCACTGCAAGTGTCAGAAAACCCCAGGCCTCCCAGGGCTACCAGGGCCTCAGCCCCTCCTTCCTGCCCTCACAGCAGCCTCCGAGGTGGCTGGACTCTCTGAAGTGTTTGTTCATGCTGTCTGTGAGCCAGGCCTGGCTCCCAAGTCATGGGATTTTCCACAGTTCCTCAGGCTCCCGGTGGCTTTTCTTAAATTCCTGAAATAGTACCTTCCAGCTTCTTCGTTCAGCATTCTCTCTTACTGGGAAGCTGAGGGGGAAGGTTAATTTAGGTTAACTAGTAACTTCCTCTTGCTGCATACTTTTGTTTCTTTGATGCATAGAGAAGTTGTTTTGTTTTGTTTTGTTTTGTTGACAGCTTAAAAAATACCCTCGTATTATCTCTCAGTGGTTTTAATTTTTTTTCAAACTCCTGACCTTAAGTCATCCTCTCACCTCAGCCTCCCAAAGTGTTGGGATTATAGGTGTGAGCCACCATGTGTGGCCTAGAGGTGATTTTTTAAAATGAGGGACGTGAATTAAAAGGAAAAAAGTCAAGGAAGACAGAGGCACTAGGAGCCTTGGAAACATAGCTGATAATGTGGGCTCTATCCCATTAACCATATTCCCCTAGGCCTGAGCCCCCACTTCTGGTTGCACATTCTGCTTTCATTGAGCTGGTTGTGCCTGGTGTTTCAGAAAGCTCGATGTGCTATGGTGTGTGCCAGGTGGTATGGCTGATGGGAGGAAGAGAGACAGTGAGTGCAGGAAAAGGGAGAGGAGGCTGCTTTGAACCTCAAGGAAGGGTGGTGGGGGTGTGGGGGCCATCCTGGTGGCAAGAGGTTTGCAGAAACACAGCCCATTCTCCACTGGCCCTGGCAGCTGCTGGTCCTTCCACCCAGAGCTGCCGTGAACCTGCCCGGGAGAGGGCAAGGGAGTTCTGGGAGCATGGGGGAACCCTCCTTAGACCCCTATCGCTGAGTGTCCAAATGGCTCAACCTCCTGTCATACTGAAGTCTCCTGTGGTTTCCTTCTGCTTTCTGAGTCAGGCTGAAGCGCCTTCTTCAGAAACTGGCGTCTGACAGCAAACAGTGCCCAGCGCCACTGATGTCGACTATCTGGGGCTGGACTGCTTATTTGTGAGAAAGGAACAGAGTGTTCTGCTCGAGCTCGTTCCCACAGCTCCATATGCACCTGACATGCTGTCTCTGTGCTTTCCAGGTGGGGGGACAAACAGCATCACCGTGAAGAACGCCACATTCACCTGGGCCAGGAGCGACCCGCCCACGCTGAATGGGTGAGCTGAGATGTGGACACACATGAGGGCTGCAGAGAGCCACGGGGCTTTGGTCAGACATGGGTATGAATTCCTGCCATGCTCCAGCTCTGTGGCCTTGGACAGGTCACTTGGCCCTTCTGAGCCTCAGCTTTTCCAGCTGGAAAGTAGGTCCAGAAACACCTGCTTGGGCTGTCCTGAGGAGCAGACGCGAAGGTGCCTAGTCCAGAATGTTCTCTCTGGCTGTGACAGAAACCTGGCATAGTTAGGCTTAGACAACAGAGGGGAGTTTTGACTCATGTAATTGCAGAGTATTCAGGTATGGTGTGATCCAGGGACTCAGTGCTGTCAGAACCTTCTCCATCGTCTCTTTGTCCCAGTGCTATCCTCCCTGGACAGGAGGCCCACTTGTCTCCTGTTGGCCCAGGTTGGGTCACATGCCCCATCTGAACCCATCACTGTACCCAGAGGGACCGGGCACACCGAGAGGCCAGGTGGGCCTGAGGCTGTCTCCCTGCTTGGCATGGCTGGCTCTGTCCACTCCAAGGTCCCTCTGCCTGACTGGCCTTTGTCACCCTTTTTCCTCTGGCACCCTGCCCGCCGCAGTCCTTATCTTTCTAAAGCACACGGTGTCTGGGGAATTGGCCTTGTCCCCAAACAGTCTGTCAAGTGCCTCTCATTTCCTTCTAGGGGCAGGGGTGGGGGTGGGGCGCCTTGTTCTACAGCTCTAATAGGGCTCCTTAAGGAAACCCCAGAACACGGGGCCAATGGGACCTTTTGAGAGGCCACATATGTCTCCTATGCCCCTAAACAGTGTGTCCTCTGACTGGTGAGCCAGGTTGCTGCTGTGTTTTGCCAGCTAGGGGACTGACTCTCCAGAGAAAAGACTGCACAGGAAGCCTGTGTTGAAAATCCATGATGGGACTAAATGTTTAAGAAGTTTTTCTGTGTGTCTAAACTTAAATCCTGCCTGCTTCTGTGGTCGCTTTCTCTCTTGCTCTGCTCCACAGCTAATCTGCGTCTGAGGCCCCTGCTTTCCTCCATTCTTCCAGTCTCTGATGCCTTCCTGCTCTGAACACCCCGGCCCCTTGAGCTTCTTTCAGCCTCCTTTCTCTGCTCAACCCCTCCCTTTCCTCGACTTACAAATGTGTTCCTGTCTCACCTGGACCATGGTGGGTGCTGGCTCTGGTCCCATAATCCATTTTCCTCCCTGCATAGAAACAAAAGTGTAATCAGTGTTGGTGTGCAGCAAGATTGTAAGGATTAAACAACTGGGCCAGATACGGTGGCTCACGCCTGTAAGCCCAGCACTTTGGGAAGTCAAGGTGGGAGGATCGCTTGATTCCAGGAGTTCAAGACAAGGCTAGGCAACATAGTGAGACCTCATCTCTACAAAAAATAAAAAATTTAGCCAGGAGTGGTGGCTCACACCTGTCGTTTCAGTTACTTGGGAGGCTGAAGCAGAAGGATTGCCTGAGCCCAGGAGGTCAAAGCTGTGGTAAACCCTGATTGTGCTGCTGCACTCCAGCATTGGTGACTGAGTGAGACTTTAACTCAAAAAAAAAAAAAAAGAAAGAAAGAAAGAAACAGTCAATGACTGCAAAATCTGTGAGCATTTCCACAAATATGCCGAAATCCTAATAGCCGCAGGTGAAGACCCCAGTCCACATGCATGAGCCCAACAAAGCCCCAGTTGTGTCCGCCCTTCCCAGCTGTGGCTGTGCTGCCTGCAGACACTGAGTGACAGCCACTTGTGCCGGTGGAACTTTGAGCTTGCTTTGTTTGGCTGCTGTTTGTTTGATTTCAACAGAGATGCCACTTAGATTTGCTCATGCCCCCCTTCCCGTGACCCCTCGGTGGCTTCCATCTTGCAGTGCATGGGCATCTTAGTATGGCATTTGTCGGTGTTCCTTGGGCCCAGCTGCCCCATACTCCCCTTTGTCACCACATCCGGGATTGCACCCTGTCACCTCATCCCTGTGGGCCTTTCTCCAGCGGTCCCTGGGTTTCTGTGTCCCGAGCATGCCCCTTCTTCCTTCAGAGTGCTCTGAGGGTCCTCTTCTTTGGGATGTCACATCATGTTCCCAGCAGGGTCACACCCTCTCTTCGGCTCTGTGTGACACGGTCCCTCAGGCCTCTCGCTGCTTCTATCCTCTAAGGTGCATTGGCATCCCGGCCCTGTCACCCACCTCAGAACAGGGTGGCCCTGGAAGGCCCTGGAGGTCCCGTGAGGCACTCACTGGCCTGAGCTCAGAACTAGAAATGGCGGAAGGAGTTTCGAGACCTCTGTGTCCATGACGACCCTGTCATCTGTGTCTGTCTCTCTCTCCTCGGGTGACTCCAAGCTCAGGTGGGCAGGAGCACAGCCCTGTGGTCTCACCCAGCACGACTGAGGCAGGGTATGTTGTTTCATTTCAGCATCACCTTCTCGGTTCCAGAAGGTTCCTTGGTGGCCGTGGTGGGTCAGGTGGGCTGTGGAAAGTCGTCTCTGCTCTCTGCCCTCTTGGCCGAGATGGACAAGGTAGAGGGGTGCGTGACTCTCAAGGTAGGTGAGGACTGTGGGATGTGTGCTGGGGGAGTGGGTGGCCAGGGAGAAGCTGGGGCGGCGCTGGCTCTTTGATGACTATCCCTGTGCTGAAACGAGTGCAGGGTCTCTCTTCCTCTCTTATTCTCTTTCTTCCTTTTATTTTTATTTTTATTTTTGAGTTGGAGTCTCACTCTGTCACCCAGGTTAGAGTGCAGCAGTACCATCATAGTTCACTGTAGCCTTGACCTCCTGGGCATAAGTGATCCTTCTGCCTCAGCCTCCTGAGTTATCTGGAACTACAGGCATGCACCACCACACCCAGCCAATTTTTGAAATTTTTTTTCTGTAGAGACGAGGTCTTGCTATGTTGTCCAGGCTAGTCTCAAACTCCTGGGTATGAGCAATCTACTCTAATTCCTTCTATTCTTTTCTCTGCTGTCCTAGAAGGAGGAATTTTGGTGTGATTTATTTTCTGCTGTGTTCCAGCAATTAGAATAGTGCCGAACATACAGTAGGCACTTAAATATTTAATAGATGCTCAAATACTCCGTGGTATGCTCTCTGTCTCTCCTTCCTCCCTGTCTCTGCCCCTAGTTGTGTGACTTTTAGTCTCTTTGTATATGAATCTTTCTGACTTGTTCTTTCTCTTTATGAATCTGTCTTTATAGCTCTTCTTATAAATATAACAAATTAACAAGTGTCATGCCTCCCACCTGTAATCCCAACACTCGGGGAGGTGAGGATGGGAATATTGCTTGAGCCCAGGAGTTCGAGACCAGCCTGGGCAACATAGTGAGAGCTTGTCTCTACAGCAAATTAGCTGGACAAATTAGCTGGACATGGTGGTGTAAGCCTATAGTCCCAATGTCTTGGGAGGCTGAGGTAGAAGGATTGCCTGAACCCAGGAGTTTGAGGCTGTGGTGAGCCACGATTATTCCACTGCACTCCAGCCTGGGTGACAGAGTGAGACCTGACTGAAAAAAAAATTGCATATAAATATGATATATTTATATCTTATATTTATGTCTTATAAATGTGATACAACTTAACAGTTATTTTGGTTTATGTGGTTAGAATATTTTCTTAGGTCTTTTTTTAAAGGCACGGTTTAAACTCAGAGTGATTGCTGAATTCTTTTTTTTTTTTTTTTTTGATTTGGAGTCTCACTCTGTCGCCCAGACTGGAGGGCAGTGGCCGCTCCTGGCCACCGCAGCCTCAACCTGCTGGGCTCCGGTGATCCTTCCGCCTCAGCCTTCCAAGTATCTGGAACTACAGGTGTGCACTACCACACCCGGCTAATTTTTGATTTATTGTAGAGATGAGGTCTCGCCAAGTTGCCCAGGCAGGTCTCGAACCTGTGGGCTCAAGCAATCCACTCACCTCCGCCTCCCAAGGCACGGGATTACAGGCTGAGCCACCGAGCCCATCTGAATTCTTAATATAGACTAAAAGGAGACTGCAGGTTTATAGCTTCTAAATGCAAAGTGTACTTTGAACTAGTGGAATTCCCTGAGAGAGCTTCGGAGGCTGCTTCACAAAAAAGTCCCTCCGGAAGTCAAGAGCCTTGGCTTACATTTAGTTCATTCCCCCAAAAAGCCTTTTCCTGGTATAAAGATTTGTCCTTGGAAGTTGAGTGAACACTAGCATTTCCTGGAGTAGGTCTGTGGCAAAGTCTCTCGGGAATGTTTGGGGAATAAAGCGCCCCCAGGCTTAGGCAAGCCTGGGAAATACTATATATTCTGACTCCTTCCCTCTTGAAGATTTATAATGAACTTTGTCAAAGTAAAGGCCCTGAGAAGTCATGCAAAGTTAAAAACAAAGCAAAACCCCTATTTAACATTGTTTACCCCATGTGGCATGTTTACGTCCCCAGAACTACCTTCTCTTAATCCAGTTTTGGGGATTCTAGTTTGTCATTGTTTTCATTTCAGGGCAAATCCCTTTCTTTGTTGATTGTATGATGCGCTTTAGAAAGTAGACCTTAGGGTAGTTGGGCCCACGGTGATGACATCTCATGGTCTTCTGAGACATGTTCCGTCATTCCTTCTGAGTCTGTGCTATCCAGTAAGATGAATGGGGACTGTGAGCTATTCCAGTCATGTTGGCACCCACTCACCTTCTGTTTTATTCACCTGGGGTTTCCCCTTTCTGGCGCTATTGTTACATTGGGCCCAACAGCTATTTGTGACCGGTTGTTTTGCCCTCATAAGGGGAGTGCTGGCAATGTGTTTACAATACTTAACTGTTTTCTAGATGTTTGAGTTGGTGGTTTATGCCTGCCGTGTCTGAATTATCTGTAAGTTTTGTGGAGAGACTTTGTGACGTTTCTGCCTCCTGTGAGTTAGGATGAGAGTCAGCAGTTTAGTTATTTACCTGAGAATTTGGAGTAAGAGTCACGGCACCTGAGACCTACTCAGCCTTGCCCCCTAGCATTCCCTCTTCTAGAATCTTCAGTGGCTCCCAGTGCCCTCCTGATAAACCCTACCACATATGGGCACCCTGCTGCCCTCCAGCCCCTCTCCCGCTATCGTCCCCTCACACAGTCAGTGCTTCAGTCTTATGGCCTTTCTTGTTTTTGAGCTGGGGTCTCACTCTGTCGCCCAGGCTGGAGTGTAGTGGCATGACCACAACTCACTGCAGCCTCAACCTCCTGGGCTCAGGTGATCCCTCTCCCTCAGCCTCCTGAGTAGCTGGGATTAGAGGCGTGCACCACCACGCCTGGCTAATTTTTTTAATTTTTGTAGAGACAAAGACTTGCTATGTTGCCCGGGCTGGTCTCAAAACTCCTGACCCCAAGCCATCCTCCCACCTCAGCTTCCCAAAATGCTAGGATTTCAGACTTGAGCTACTGTGCCCAACCTGCTTAAATTTCATCGAGAAAATTTCCTCAAGGAATCCTTCCTCGGTGTTCCAAAGTACATTGGACTTTTAAAAAGCCTTATATATCTTTCTTTCTTAGTGTCTGCTGCACCCATAAGCTAGTTGTTTTTTGGTTACGTCAGAGAATTCTACTCCTTTTCCCTTGATTTTTTTTTTTTGGTCTCCCTTTCTTGGTGATGAAAAGGAACTTTTACCCTTTGGAAGGTGGGGTTTTGGTTGCTGCTGTAGACATTTAGTAAATAACCCACTAAATATATAACTATAATCTCATCAATGAGGACTTCAACTCAAACTCCTGACACTGGGGTCAGTGACTCACCTAGTATGAGTTCTTATCCCAGCTCTGGCATCTGTAGTCCTTTGTGACTCAGTTTCCCTCTTGTTGAAGCAGTAGGTGTGATACAAATATCTTATGATTTGGGGCCTTCCTGGCAGGTGGGTGGGCTGGCTGCCATCTTGTTGACCAAGTCTGTCTGCCTATCTCACCCCCTTCTCCGTTTGCTCTGCAGGGCTCAGTGGCCTACGTGCCCCAGCAGGCCTGGATCCAGAACGATTCTCTCCGAGAAAATATTCTCTTTGGACGCCCACTGCAGGAACAGTATTACAAGGCTGTGGTAGAGGCTTGTGCCCTCCTCCCAGACCTTGAAATCCTGCCCACCGGAGACCGGACAGAGATAGGCGAGAAGGTCAGTGCAGTTCCATCATTGGCCCCTGGACCAGTCAACGATTGCTGCATAACAAACACCTCCAAATCTCTGTGGGCTCGTGAGTTAATGGCAGCTGGCTGACCCAGGCTAGGCTCAGCTTGACGGTTCTCCTGCTCTCTGTGGGCCTCTGAGCTTGGCTCCAGGTTGTGGGTGTGGCCCAGGGGAAGGCTCTTCTTGTGGTGGCAGCTGAAGACCAAGAGAGGGGGCTGGGTGAGAGAAAAGCAGGGGATGTCTCTTAAAGCACACTGTCTTTTCCACCCAGAAAGCATGTCTATTGACTAAGCCCAAAGGCAAGGGACCAGGAAGGGTGTACAGTCTGTGTCTGCGAGCACGTGACTGCAAAGTCATATGACAAAGGGCATAGACAAGGAGGAGGAGTGATGATTCAGAGGTCCACAGTCCCTGTCATAGCAGTGACAGTTGCTAATAACACTTACTGAGTATTTTCTGTGAGCCAGGCACCGTGCCAAGTATTTACACACATTTCATCCTCACAGCAAGCCCATGAGATGTTGTTATCCCCATTAAATGGTTGAGTAGAGGGAGGCACAGAGAGGTTGTGTGACTTGCCTGATGCCACGGAGCACCGAGAGAGCATGGCTGTTAGGTCCATGTTCTTACCTGCTAGTTCTGTCCCCTATAAGGAGGGCCTCCCACCACTCCTGCTCCCTCCCCCTGTGCTCCAGCCCTAGGTCTTAGCAGCCCCCAGCCCCTTCCCACCTCTATGCCTTTGTCTAAGCCTCCCAGGCCTGGGTTGCTCTCCCTGGCTGCTGCCTGGGTTGCTCTCCCTGGCTGCTGCCACTTTGCTTTGGCGCCCCCTGGTGGCTGTCTGGTTTCCTGGCCTTGGAGGACCAGGAATTCAAAGACCTCGCTCACCTGCCTCTTTTTAGTTACAAGCCAGTGGCTCCACCAGCTTTCTTATTTGGCGCATGATCTTTTTAAAATGGAGGCAATATGCAGCTCCTTGGAAAGGAAAGACAGTTGTTAGCTCGTGTGAGCAGAAAACAAGACCTGAATGGAAGGACACACGTGGTTCTTGTAGAATCCAGGGGCTGGGGTGTGTGGGGTCTCAGGGAGAGTGGGCAGGCAGCCTGGGCCCTGCTGTTGTTCTCTCTCCTTTTCTGCATATCTGCTTTGTGCTTTTCTACAAGTGTCTGTTTCTGGCACTCGAAGACTCTTGTCTGTCTCTGTCTTATCTGTCTCTGTCTAGATCCCAGGGCCAAAGTCTGGAGAGAGAAAATGTTAGTTGGGTGTTAGCTTGGGGCTGGAGTCTGCCCTGGTCTAATGAGCTGTGACCAGAGGGCCCATCTAAAGGCTCCTGGCTGCCAGGACCCGCCTCAGTGCATGGAGGAGGGAGGGTAGGCATCTCTCCCGAGGGATGGGATAGTTAACCCGGGGGTGGCCACTGTGCTTCTGGGGCCAGATGTGGAAATGGCATTGGGACATCTGTCGTGGGGGACTGGCGCTGCTGGTCTATGTGGTGCCCTCCTGGTGAGCGAGACCTAGGCTGGGTTTCCACATCCCGGGTAGAGCCTGCCTTGCTCTGCGTGGCTTTACTGGGGACTGGTAGATCCAGAGGCAGCTGAATGTCAGCTATTAACAACAAAGGCAACAGCAAGACAATAGCAATATCATTACCACACTCACTGGTGCCTTCCACCAGACTACAGGATCAGGACCTTCACTCTGACCAACACTGTTGACTTGGTGCCATCAGCCCACTCAGTGCTGAGTGTTCACTGTGTGCCAGGTGCCCTGCCCAGCAACTCTCAGGAGACTCAGGTTTTCTCTTCCCCCCATTTTGCAGATGAAGCTAAGCCTCGTGCCTATGATCCTGTCCTCGACTGTGGTGGAGCTGGGCCTTGTTCATGTGGGTGTAACCTCCTGCTTTCAGTCTTGTACCAAAACAAGAGGAAGTGGGTATAGTCCTGTGGTCCCCTGACCTGGGCCCATTGCACCCTGAGCAAGTCATCCGCTTGGGTGGCTCTGCTACATTTCTCTTTCCTCTTTTTTTAGAGACAGTATCTCGCTCTATCACCATGGCTGGGGTGCAGTGGTGCAATCATAGCTCACTACAGCCTCAAGCTCCTGGGCTTAAGTAATCCTCCCACCTCAGCCTCTCCAGTCCCTGGGACAACAGGTGCCCACCACTTCTCTCAGCTAATTTTTTATTTTTATTTTTTAGAGACAAGGTCTTGCTATCTTGCCCAGGCTGGTCACAAACTCCCGGCCTCAAGTAATCTTCCCGCCTTGACCTCCCAAAGTGCTGAGATTGCAGGCATGAGCCACCGTGCCCAGCCTCTGCCACATTTCTTGAGTCTCCAGGTTCCCCAGGAAGTCCACCCTTCTGCCGTGTCTCTTCCCAGGGCGTGAACCTGTCTGGGGGCCAGAAGCAGCGTGTGAGCCTGGCGCGGGCCGTGTACTGCAACTCCGATATTTACCTCTTCGATGATCCCTTGTCAGCGGTAGATGCCCACGTGGGAAAACACATCTTTGAAAATGTGGTTGGCCCTAAGGGGATGCTGAAGAACAAGGTACCTGCTGGTGGGTGGGACTTGGCACTGGCTTCTCACTCTTTGGTGAAGCCAGAGTGTGTCCCCTTGAGCAGTCCTCCCCTGGCCTTTTCTGTTTTTAATGTAACTTGAAGAACACATTTCTCTTGTTTCTCTTGGAAGCCTGCCCAAGACAGCTGCCCGCACTTGCCTTTATAGGGCTGAGTCCTCAGCAGGGTCTTGAGGGCATGACCTCCACTCAACCAAGACAACCCCTCTTCTCAATTCCATCCCATGTCCAACTCCCCAGGGGGAATCCCATCCCAAGACCCTCTGGACCAAGTGGGTCATGCCTCCTTCCATGCCAGGTGGCCGTGCGTGGAGCAGGAAGTTTGGAGCAGGGAAATTGCCACAATGCCGTAACACGATAGGACCTCATTCCTGGGCTTTTCTTTTTCAAGTCTTTTTGCTGTATGTGTAAACTTTTAAGATAGGTTGTCTTGTTTTATATGTCTATGTACATTTATATGTACACACACATAGAGGAAGCATTTTGCTATTGAACCTATTGTAAGTGTACCCGCACACCCCACTATATTTCCATGTAAACATAACATTTAAATAGTAAGGAATTTTTTTATGTTATCAAAGTAATGCATGCCCATGGCAACAAAATCAGAGAGTTCAAGGACATGGGTAGATCTTCTGTATCCCTCTCCCTCCTGTACCCCTCATTTTTCTCTCGAGAGCAGGGCTCAACAGATTGGCCTATTGCCTGCTTTTATGTGGTGCTTGGGCCGAGGCTGGTGTTCCGGCCAGATGTTGACATTTTTAAATGGTTGGAAGAAATCTAAAAGGGAACAGTCTTTTGTGATGTGTGAAGTTACATCTTTAATTTGCATGTCAGTGTCCATACCCGGATTGCAGCCTGCTTCTAATCTTATCTGTGGCTGCCTCGGGCCGTGAGGACAGAGCTGTGTTGTTGCAGGGTGACTGTAAGGTCCCCAGGGCTGTAAGATCCCCTTTAAGAAAAAATTGCTGACTTCTGTTAATAGTTGGATGGCTGTCTTCCAGGCTTTCAGATTCGCAGATAAAATATCTACCCGTGTACGGATTTGCTTGTGGCTTTTAGGGTAGCAGGCATAGGAAGTTGGTTTAAAAGAAAAATTGGGGGCAACCCCCTTGGGTCCCCTCCTACTGTGGGAGCTTTTCTGACCTCTCAATAAATCCCGCTTTCTCACAAAAAAGAAAAAAGAAAAGAAAATTTAGGCCACCGCACACAGACTCTTCTGTAGAAACATCAGTCTTTTATTCCTTCACATGTGCGTGAATCCTCCCCCCCAGCACCAAATCCACACTCTCAGCAGACTCGCCTTTTCTGCTGTGTTTTGCCATCCAGCTCACAGTCTTGCTCCTGCTGTGTGTCTTGGAATGGGGGGTGGGTTGTCTGGTTTGCTCCTTGCCACTTCCCTAGGTTAGCATGGCTGGCCTAAGGCACGCCTGAGAGGGGAAGGGCTGCATGCGTAGGACCAGCTGTTCTGCGGGCATCATCCTGGGCGTGTGTCCTCCTGCAGGCCTGGCTGTGCCCTCCAGGTGCCCGCCAGCTCCTTCCTTCCTCCGCCAACTCCTTCCTTCTACTGAGTCTAGCCGTCTCCCCATGCCTGACATGCCCGTTTCTCATTTCCCGTAGACACGCCTCCTGGTCACACACAGCATCAGCTACCTGCCGCAGGTGGACGTCATCATCGTCATGAGTGGTGGCAAGATCTCTGAGATGGGCTCCTACCAGGAGCTGCTGGCCCGCGACGGGGCCTTCGCTGAGTTCCTGCGCACGTACACCAGCACCGAGCAAGATCAGGCCTCAGACGGGGACGGTAGGAGTGGGTGGGGTCCCTTCTGCCTTGAAGGGCCACATCTGCCCCTCTGAGGTTGCCACTAGCCACCTCGGAAGGGTGGCTTATTGGGGCACTGGGTGGAACTGGCCCCTCGGGAGCCAACTGGGGGGCCTGTCTTGACCCCTATGGGGCTGACCTGGACAAGGCCCAACACTTTGCTGTAATGTGGCTGAGGCCTGCCAAGCCTCAGGGTCCTCATGGCAAAAATGGGGACAAGGAAATTAAAGTCCCTCTGGCTCTCAGGAGGCCGAGAGACATCGAGAACAGAGTGACTCAGGACAGACGTGAGGGGAGCAGGTGGTTGAGCCTGCAGGCATGGAGATGGCAGAACCTGGGTTTGAATCCCAGAGGCTGCTTCTGCCAGCTGTGTGACCGCAGGCCTGTCCTTCCAACCCCCACCCCCGAGCCTGGCACCTGACCCTGACCTTATATGAAGCCAGTGGAGTAGGTTCTGAGAATCCTGTCCTCTCAGTTGGGTTCAGGTTCAGGGTCAGCTGTGTAGCCTTCTTGGCTGCCTGTGTTTCTGGGTCACACTAGCATCTTGGAGGACCCTCTGCTCAACTCCCCCTGGGGGCTTTGACCGTATTGACTTGGAGAGGGAGCAGGTCAGCTGGTGCTTTTTCTGGGCCCCAAGGGACCACACCTTTGGTCTGGGGTACTCTGCTTTGGTTTCAGCGGGTGATAAAAAGCAGCACTGCTGAGAGGCCCTCTGTCCTGCTCTGATCTCCTTCCTCCAGGAGCTAATTACAGGCTCCCCAGGCCTCTGGGACTTGTGTGTTTCGTGCGGGTCTCAGATGGACTGGCCTCAGGGTGGGACTGCAGGGCTACCCAGTGCATAACTTCCATTGACAGAATTGATATCACAATCTGTGAATGGGGCCCCTAGGGTTGTAGGACGGAGCAGCCCTGTGGTACTGTGCCAGGGGCTTTGGGATGGCCTAGAAGGAGCTTGCTCATAAATTGACTCATCCAGTGGGGATTTATTATGTGCCTACTGAGTGTTAAGTACTTGTCTTAGTTTCCTGGGGCAGCTATAACAAAATATCCCAAACGTGCTGCCTAAGCAACAGAAGTATGTTGTCACACGTTCTGGAGACTGGAAGTTGAGGTCAGGATGTCAGCAGCGCCGGTTTCTTCTGAGGACAGTGACTCTGCCCCTTGCCTGTCCCTTGGCTTCTGGTGGCTGCTGGCAGTATCTGGAGTCCTTGGCTCGGGGAAGCACCACCTTGATCTCTGTCTTCATTTTCACATGGCCTTCTCCCTGTGTGTGTGTCTGTGTCCAGATTCCCACCCCTCCTTTTTTTTCTTGAGATGCAGTCTCCCTTTGCTACCCAGACTGGAGCACAGTAGCACAATCATGGCTCACTGTAACCTCAAACTCCTGAACTCAGGCGATCCTTCTGTATCAGCCTCCCTAGTAGCTGGGACTACATGCGAATGCTACCACATCCAGCTCATTTTTTTTATAGAGATGAAGTCTTGCTATATTGCCCAGGCTGGTTTCAAACTAGCCTCAAGCGATCCTCCCGCCTCAGCCTCCCAAAGTGCTGAGATTGTAGGTGTAAGCCACCACACCCAGCTTCCTAGTGGTTTTTAATAAGTGCTTTATTGGTCTATAATACACCATACAATTCACCCTTTAAATTGTTCTATCCAGTGACTGAGTATATCCAGGGTTGTGCAACCATCACCACAATCAGTTTTAGAACCTATTTATCACCCCCCTAAGAAGCTCTGTGTCCACGCAGGCAGTCCCCATTTTTCCCCAGCCACCCACCCCAAGGCAACTACCAACCTTATTTCTGTCTCTGTGGATCTGCCTGGACATTTTGTATCCATGGAATCATAGCCTGTGGGATTTTGTGCCAGCTACCTTCATGTAGAACGAGGCTCTCAGGGTTCTCTGTGTTGTAGCTTCATTCCTTTTATTGCTGAATAATACTATTCCATTGCATGGATCGACCGTGGCTTTTTTTTTCTGTTCATCTGTGGATGGATATCTGGGTTGTTTCCACATTTTGACGACTTCTGGGAGCCCTGGTGGTTTCAAAAGAAGAGTTATGTTTGTATTTTTGCTTTTTGAGAGCTGCCATTCCCTTCAGCTTTGAAATTCTCTGATCGGAATGAATGTTTGTGCCCTTGTGGTTGGAAAGTGCTGCCTTAAGTCTAGCCTGCTTCCTCTTGCTGTGGAATCTCCTGTCTCTGTCTCTTAGCCCCAGAGATGAGTTGCAGCAGCTGCTTGAACACCACTGTTTCCCCAACCTGTTTGGTGGGCTACATTTGGGCGAAAAACCCTCTACGCTTTCTGAACCCACACGTGTGGTTTTGACTGAATCCTCTCTAGAGAGTGAGTGAATCTCTCCTCCCTTCCCTCCAGGTGAGCAAGGATTGTCCTTAACTCTGGTGGCCGCTGATGGGTTCCACCCCCTGCCTGCCCAGCTGCCAGCAGATCCTACAGCTTCTCCAGAACATGGAGTGCCGCCCATGTCTCTGTTAGTTTTTGTGTGCATCAGCACTTAATTTGGTGATGAACACACTGCCCCCAGCCCTTCTGGGGTTTCCTTGCACCAGCTCAGCTTCCTGCCTCCAGGCAAAACACAGAGTCTGCCTCAGCCTGTGGGTCTGGGCAGCACCCCCTCTTTCCCCACCCTCTGGAGGGCCCTGGCTCTAAAGTCTTGGCCTCAGGAGCTGGTCTCGCCCAGCCCCAGCCAACTCCAAGCACCCCTGACCTTGAATGTTTGAAATGCATTTGTAGCTTCTCCTAAAGGTTCATTTTTTTGGGTGAATCAGCTCTTTTTCAAGAACACCTGGACTGGAAGAGGGTGGTATTGGTCTGGAGGACTCCTTCATGACACTGATTTCTAGAAAATTTGTTTATTTTTAACTTTTCTTGGGTGGCAAAGAGATTACCAATTGACCCATTAACCTTCATACTTGAATGGGGAGAAACATTTTTATGACTCTAGTTCCTTTCTTTCTTTCTTTAACTTTTCTTGGGTGGCAAAGAGATTACCAATTGACCCATTAACCTTCATACTTGAATGGGGAGAAACATTTTTATGACTCTAGTTCCTTTCTTTCTTTCTTTAACTTTTCTTGGGTGGCAAAGAGATTACAAATTGACTCATTAACCTTCATACTTGGATGGGGAGAAACATTTTTATGACTCTAGTTTCTTCCTCCCTCCCTCCCTCCCTCCCTCCCTCCCTCCCTCCTTCCTTCCCTCCTTCCTTCCTTTGTCGAGGTCTCACTCTGTGACCCAGGCTGTATGGAATGCAGTGACATGATGACAGCTCACTGCAGCCTTGACCTCCTGGGCTCAGGTGATCCTTCTACCTCAGCCCGCTGGGTAGCTAGGTCTATAGATGTGCAGCACAATGCCTGGTTAATTTTTTTTTTTTTTTGAGTTGGAATCTTACTCTGTCACCCAGGCTGGAGGGCAGGGGCATGCTCCCGGCCACCGCAGCCTCAACCTGCTGGGCTCAGGTGAGCCTTCTGCCTCAGCCTTCCGAGTAGCTGAAACTACAGGCGTGCACCAGCACGCCTGGCTGATTTTTTTTCCCAATTTTTTGTAGAGATGAGGTCTCACTATGTTGCCCAGGCTGGTCTTAAACTCCTGGGCTCAAGCAATTCTCCCACCTTAGCCTCCCAAAGTGCTGAGGTAACAGACGTGAGCCACCATGTCTGGGCTTTAGTTTTTTTTTTTTAGTAACCTAAAACCTAGAGCGATGGTTCAGTCCCCAGCCCCCCAGGAATATTTGGCAATATTGGGAGTCATTTTTGGCTGTCACTCCTGGCGTCTGATGGGCAGAGGCCAGCAATGTCAGGACACTCCCCATTGCCCTGCCCCACAGCAGAGTCGTCCTGCCCGAGATGGCACTGAGGGGAGAAGCCCTGTGTGCTCAGCCTTCATGCTGTCTGCCTTTCTTCCCTCACCATCCTGGGGGGACAGGCCTTGCTTCCAGTGATGTGTTTGTTTTTCAAAACCTCACTTGAACCATCTCTCAACTTTGTGACTAAAATTTTCCTTTTGGATTTTATGCTGAACTTTTAAAAACTGATGACAAAATCAGTAAGTGCTCATCATGGGCTTGGCAAACCAGAGGAGAGCGAAGAATCGGGATAGAAGGCCAGGTGTGGTGGCTCACGCCTGTCATCCCAGCACTTTGGGAGGCTGAGGCAGGTGGGTTGCTTGAGGCCAGAAGTTAAGACCAACCTGAACAACACAGCAAGACCCTATCTCGGTGAAAGAAAATCAGCCAGACATGGTGGAGCGCACCTGTGGTCCCAGCTACTCGGCAGGCTGAAGTGGGAGGATCGCTGAGTCCAGGAGTTTAAGGCTGCAGTAAGCTGCAATCGTGCCACTGCACTCCAGCCTGGGAGACAGAGGGAGACCCTGTTTCTAAAAATAAATGAATGAATGAACGTGTGACTCTATGAGTGAATGAAAAAAGTAAAAAACGTCAGGAAAGGGGTCACACTTCTCTCTCATGCCCAGAAGGGGGTGGCTTTGTCCTTGGTGTCTCTCCCACCCATCTTTTCCTTCCAGGCCTCTCTCCCTGACAAGGCTGAGGTCACCTTGCTCAGTCTTCTCTTTTCCTTCTCCCATTTCCCTGTTCTTAGTGTTGGGTCCCGAGCACCTCCCCACATGACAGAGCTGTGTCGTGAGCCCCACACAGCTGCTGGTGTTTGAGTGGACAGCACATTCCTTCCACCTGTCCTCAGAGGCTCATTTCTTCCTCTTTTGAGGATGAAGAACTTGCAGGGCCCAGGCAGGAGGAGGGGGAACTTGGGCGAGGCAGCCAGTCACTTCCATTTTTGGTCAAAAAGCGAGGCATTGGCTCTAAAGCAGGGAGTCGCATTCCTCTCTCGAGGGAGGCTGGCCCTCTGGCCCTTGCCCAAGCCAAGTTCCAGAACCTTCTTGAGTAAAGGCGGTGTTGGCGGAGTAAACAGCGTGGCTCCCGAAGTGCTTCTCTGAG